ACTGCAACACATTTATCACCTGCTACTTGGTCATTTGCTAGTCTAATGTTAACTCTTTCTGATGGCAATTGAGAGCCAGTGAGGTATAGTGATTGAACAGGATCTCGAAGATGCTGGGTTCAAATCTGCCCTCTGCCGTAGAATTCTGCTGGGTGGCTTTCGGCCTGCCACACAGTCTCAGCCTAACTTACTAAATAGGGTTGCTATGAGGATAAAAAGTAAGAGAAGAATGATGTCAGCTGCTTTGAGTCTCCATTGGAGAGAAAGGTGGGATTTGAATGAAGCAATTAAATAAATTAGCCAGGCAATTCAAATTTAGAATGTCCCTCATTGGCAAATAGCTAGAATGGAAATGGATAGGAGACATTTAGAAGTGTAACAACAAATGCTAATTGGGTTACAAGAGAAGCTGCATTCTAGATGACACCGATCTAAGATGGCCAATGGAAAAATGAACCTAGATTGCGCAAAGATATGCAAGAAAATATGAACCGGGACTTAATGATAATCCCAGGGGGCTTTGTAAGTAGATGATTGCAGAGCCTCAACCCATCTTCAGATTCTTCAGGCTTATCCAGATAAGTATTTATGAGGCAAAGGAAGCAGAATTATTCCTCATTTTCTGTGGGTGACTTGCAGTTCTCCCCCAAAATTCTGTTGTTGTAATAGCGCGTCTTCCCAGCATTCAAAATTCAACATGTTGGATGTTGGGTCGGACCTAATGACTAACTTTAATGAATCATAGAATCATAGAGTTGGAAGGGACCTCCAGGGTCATCTAGTCCAACCCCATGCACAATGCAGGAAATGCACAAATATCTCCCCCACACACACACACAGTGAGTGAAATATAGTTCATAAGAAGACTCCTTCTGTTGGATGGGGAGTCCTCATATAGGGTAGGCAGCCATTAACTAGCAATCAGCAGGAGGGAGAAGGCAGGGATGGGGGGGGGGAATACCAAAAGTGACATCATGTCACTGTAATGCGCTAGGATTCAGACAATATGGTAAAATCATAGAGTTTCGCCTGAATCCTATAGTGGCTCATTGACATTACACTGGCAATGTGATATTACATCCGGGTGGCTGCCACTTTAAAACATTTAAAGCATTTTTCCCTCCCACTGTCTTTCAGCAGGCCACAAGGAGGGAGATTAGGAGGTTTCCCACTGAAGTGTGGTCTCCCTATTGTAGTTAGAAAGGAATTGCTGGACTCAAACCTTTCCAAGCACTATTATTGCTAACCTATGTGGAATGTGGTTCTTATTATGTTGGTACACCCTCCAACCACATGCCATTGCTTTGAACTTTATTGTGTGCTTCGCTATGTAACTATTTTGTGTGTGTTTTAATGTGGGGTTTTATATGTGTGTTGCTCTAGTTTAAAATGCAGGCTTCTAAAGTAAGATAGAAGGGAACTGGATGGGTGATTAAAGAGCAATATGATTGGATGGTAACTGTGCCCTAGGGGGCAGAGTCAACTGGTATGTGTGAGAGAGAGGGAAGAACAGAGCGGGTAAAGAGTGAAGAAATATGTGTTCTTTGTGGAAGTTATTAAACTAAGTGGCAAGTGAAGAAATCAAGCTTTGTGGAAGTTGTTAGCATAAGTGGCAAGTAAGAAAATAAACCTTTGTGGAAAGCCCTCCCCGAACCCCCCCGTCTTTCCAGGCCTGCGCTAAAGCACGGAGCCTGGCAAAGCCCTCCACAACCCCCTCCATCTTTCCACGCCCTCCCCATAGGTAGCAATGCAAAGAGTCCAGTGGCACCTTTAAGATCAAGGCTTATTCAGGTAGAAGCTCTCCCTCCTCTGTGAGGGCAGATCTGCGTGTCCCCCCCCCCCATAGCTAGCAATTCAAAAGAGTCCAGTGGCACCTTTAAGACCAAGGTTTATTCAGGTACAAGCTCTCCCACCTTCTGACACATTTCCGGTGATGTCAGGGGGCGTGGCATATGCAAATAAGTTATGCTAATGAGTTATGGTAATAAGCTCCTGCACCTCTTTTTCTATGAAATGACCCCTATCTGCAACCATTACGCTTATGAACTATACTGAAACCGTTACTCTGTTATATAGAAACACTGTATTTAAGAGAACAGCTGTTTTCTTTCAATTAAAAGATACCCTTTCACCTCAGGGCCACCCATTCTCTTATTCTACCAAATATAACTAAGCCATTCTGCCCTTTGGGTTCAGCCAAGAAGTCTAAGGCAAGAGCTTTGGATGGCAGCAAAAATAAGTAGGAAATGTGAAGGAAGGGAAGGAGGCAGAATAGTACACATCGCAGAACTCTACAGGCTGGTGCCCTTACAGATGTTACACATCTCAGAACAAAGCAAACTGTTATATTTCTGTTTTTCTTTTCTGTAACTGCTCCGGTGTAGAAGCACTCATATACTGTGAAACTGCTGAACGGAAATTCACATCAAAAAAGATCTTCAAGACGACTTCCGGTTGATGGCGGCACACTAGCAGACTCACTTCCCAGACCTTCCAGGCCAAAGGATGGGGTGTGCAGCCAAAGGATGGGGTGTGCAGGCTCACTACTCCCCCAGGGACCCGGCTGAAGGGACCCTGGCCATGGAGCTCTTGAGAGGTTGCCTCTTCGACAGCGTGATGCCGGAGAATTGAGGCACCTCTCCGCTCTGACGGTTCTTCGTGCTGAGAGACCGAATGGACTAAGTGACACTGACCGGGGCAAGCGCAGGAGATCGAGGGTTAGAAATGGAGTGTAAACGAGGTCCATGGACCGATTATGAACGTGAGTCGTTTAAGCATTGATTAAAAAGAAAAGAAGCTCCCCGCCCCCACCCCACGGAACAGAAGTTAAGGTGAGCAGGGGAGAGACGTCTCCCAAGCGCATAGACTTTAGAGCGATTTTTGAGTCCAGCTGGGAGGGCCAGAGGAGGAAGAAAAAGAAGAGGACAGCAAGTCCAGTGGCGAGCTGGACTCGGGTTCTTCCGGAGAGGACTCTCTGTCAGAGAAAGGGGCAGCAGCTCCTAAAAATCCTTATAAGTTGCGGAAGAGACTGGACAAGAAGAAGTGAAGGCTGAAGGACTCTGAATTGTGCCTTTGAAAAAAATTGAATAGAGATGCTTTGGGGTATTTCCTTATATCAGTTAAATTTAAGATTTGGGAAAAGTTAACAGAATATGTAACTCAGTTTGTAATGAGATTAATATGATTAAGACTAGATGTGTATTCAAGCTGATTAGAGCTCCTCTCTTGGGTTTTTAGTCAGTGGTGGGTATCTTTTCTTTATCCCTAAATGTAGTCCCCTCCCTTATTTCTGTTATAGTTTGTAGTTTTAATAAAAATGCAATTAAAAATTCCCCATTGGGGAGCAAAAAAAAAAAGTTCAAGGCAACACTCCAGCATGAAACAGCTGCACTGGAACTCACCAAAAGGCTTGAAAGTCTGCTCCCTGTACCCTGCGCCCCAAATAAAAACTTGACAGCTCTTTGTCATTACAGGTGTTAAAAATCTTGATAAAACCTGTCAACCAGTTTAGGAGAACTAGAGATCTAGTCCATTACTGCTATTGAGAGCGGTCTCTGTGCTTGCTTGATTATATTTAAATTTTATAGAATTACATTTTCCTCTGTATTTCCTGCATTCCATGGCCCCTCGTCTCTACTATTAATTTTTTAAATAACCTTTCATATATATGTCTGCTAGATAGGAATCTAACACATGCATCTGATGAAGTGGGTTCTATACCTTGAAAGTTTATGCTGGAATAAATCTATACAATGCCCCTAAATGCCTGCTTATCATATAGCAATATGCTTTTTAGTTCAAGGATCCCAGATGTCTCACTCCACCACTGTAGCTCTCTCTCCAGAGTCAGGCAGGCAGCCACTGTGGCAATTATTGCTACCTGTTTGGAGCACTATGCTCTAGGGAAGGCTGTGACTGGGGCACGTGTCGGGTATTCTCCCTGGGGTAAGGTGATGTTTTTAAAGTGAGCCAACCTCTCCCAGGCAGCCTTCTTTCATCATGTATTTCCTGACATGGCTCCAGATGCGACTTCGGGGAAGCAGGCTGCCTCCTGTAGCCAGCTCAAAATTTTCATAGCTTCCATATTTTTGCAAGGTCAGCTCCATAATTTTGATGGCCTGCAGAGGAGACAAAAGTGCAGAGATTTTTACATGAAACTCAGTGACAGCTTCGAAGTGGAGGCCAAGGCACTTGGTGCTCACTCCACAGGAGTGCTTGCTGGTTGGAATAACAGGGCATATTGATACACAAGATTACTATGCAAGGTAGAAAGATGAGGTGTGTGGAATGCAGCCTTTAGACTATGTGATTGAACTATGAGACCTTCAGCTGCTCTCCCCACCTTGTGTCAAGGCCGGCTGTTTGGAAGCCATCTGGCAGGCATGTCCAGAACAACGCAATCCTAAACAGAGCTACCTCCTTCTAAGTTAACAGAAGACAGCAGTTTAGAATAGTATAACTCTGTCTAAGATTGCAGTGAAAAGCAGGTAATAAAGAATGGACAGTCTGAGAAGACAACATAGACATGAAACTTCTTGGACCCTCTGCTGTCTTGGGTAGCTGCAGTGTCACCTTCTGCCCATCTGCAGTGGAGGCGCTGAAGTGCTGCATAAGCAGGCCACCTCGGGCACGTTTTCATGGTGGTGCAGAGAATAAAGCACCAGGCCCCCCTAACCAAACTCTAAACCTCGGTGTCTTACATTTTGATATTTTCCGCTGGGGGCCCAAATAGGAACAAATGATATTGTATCTGGATGTACCAATGGTTATCTTTATATGTTTATATATTTTCAACAACATTTAAGGAATTATTCTATTTCCAAACTGTCCATAATGAAAAGAGGAGCATTCCCTTAGTATCTTCAAACCACCTGTGGTCCAAGGCACACATGGAGATTCTGACCGTGTGGCTTGCCCCAATTGCTTCACAGGAGGAGACACCTCCACTCCTGCAAAAGAATACAGAGGTGTACACACAGCTGCCCTTGCGGTACATGTGGTTTCTGCAGGCAAGGAATTTCCATGTCTGCACTGTAGCCTTCCAACCCTACAACGTTTGGGAAAATGAAGTGCTATTTTCCTCTCTATTAAACATACTTATTAGATGTTCATGCCACATTTCCTCTCAGGAGTTCAGGGCAGTGTACACAGGCCCTCCCCCCACAACTTAATCCTCACAACCAATTTGTGAAGTAGACTGAGGAGGAGGAGATTGGATTTATACCCCGCCCTTCACTACCCAAAGGTGTCTCAGAGCGGCTTACAAACTCCTTTCCCTTCCCCTCCCCACAACAGACACCCTGTGAGGTAGGTGGGGCTAAGAGAGCTCTGAGA